ACTTTGGGGAATGAATGAGGGAATCCACGGAGGAGAGCCTTTAATTCCTGAGAAAGAGTTTGGAGTGGAGTCTCCTACCTTCATTTTTTTTTTAACTTGATGTCAGATATTTTATATGTACACTTACTTATGTAGCAGTTATGTATGTGTGGGGGGAGAGATTTGATATTCTCCACCACTGCTCATTGTAGGTTTTTTTAAAATTATTTAGTTTTGTTGTTGTTGAACATACACCAATTCAACAATTCGTACACATACAATTCAGTGACATTGATTACATTCTTGAAGTGGTGCAACCATTCTCACCCTCCTCTTTTGAATTGTTCTTCTGCCATCAACATAAACTGACTGCCCCTACGCTTCCTAGCCAGCCTTTCAAGTTGCTGTTGTCAATTTGATCCTGTGTAGATCGTTCTTTAAAAGAGCACAGTGCCCAAGGCAGACCTTCTTCACTATTTAATGCTCGTTGGAGATTTGACAGCGCCCTGCTGGCACAGTGGTTAAGAGCTTGGCTGCTAACCAAAAGGCCAGCAGTTCAAATCCATCAGCTGCTCCTTGGAAACCCTGTGGGGCAGTTCTCCTCTGTCCTGTAGGGTCGCTGTGAGTTGGAGTGGACTCGATGGCAATGGGTTTGGTTTTTGGTAGATTTGACGGCTCTCCAGTGCCTGTGAGGGCCAGGCAGGTGCCTCTGAGGGCTACCCAAGGGAGGCTTGCCCAAGGGGAGCCCACTCAGGCCTCGGCTTGTGACCCAGGCCATGACAAGTGTCTCTTGCCATGCCACCCCTGCTTTAAAGGGCTCGACGTTGCTGTGAAGGCCTGTCCCATCGTAGCAAATGAACTCTGAGGGCCGGGCTGTTTCCCTATCATTACGGCCTAGGTCTCTCACACTTGTGGCCTCTGCCGGGAACTCTTCAGCCTCCACTCATAAGTTTGCTGGGTCAGTTTGGGCTTTCATCCCCAGCTTAGGACAGAGGTTTGGAAGAAGAAACAAATGAGTGCTAAGAGCCCACCCTTCTGCCAGTACCCGTTCCCACTGCTGTGTCCTGACAGTCTTCAAAGGCATTAAGAAATAAGGGGCCCTAACAAGCTCTAAGATAAATTACTTTCAGATGATCAGAGATTAAAAGAAATAAAAATCAAATAGCAGAGGCTGCAGGGAGATAGCCGTAAACTCCTTCAAAGCCCTTCTGAGCACTTCCATCTACTCTGATGACAAGGGTACCTGGGGCAGGTGCAGACGCAGCGCGGTGGGTGACCCTGGAGGGGCAGGGCTGGGGAGGACAGGGACAGAGCACTCACAGAAGCCCGAGCCCTTGATGTAACCGTGCAGAGGTGTGGGGATTGGCTGGGTGGGCAGCTCAGGACCACGTCCCAGGAGCTGCCTGGACCCTGGGGACATCCGAGCTTGGCAGGTGTGGTTGGTTATCCAGCCGTCAGTGGGGGATGCTGCCACGTTGTTTTGTTGTTCAGAGGACTTTTGGTTTGTTTATAAATATAAAATACCCTTCTTCTAGGAGTTCCTGGGTGGTGCAAATGGTTAATGCGCTTAACTGTTAATCAAGAGGTTGGCGGTTCGAGTCCACCCATAGGTGCCTACAAAGAAGGGCCTGGTGATCTATTTCCAACAGGTCACAGCTATTGAAAACCCTATGGAGCACAGTTCTAGTCTGACAGACACAGGCTCGCCATGAGTCGGAATCAACTAGATGGCTGCTGGTAACTGCTAGCCCTTTTCCTAAGTGTGCCCTGTGGAGCCCTGGCCTCCGGAGATGTTCTGCCACGCAATAGCTGCCCCCCACTAAGAGGCTGTGGCCCCGGGGATTTGGGGAGGTGCTCATTCAGGTCCCCTCCTTGGAGCGTCTCGGGGGCATTAGCACGTGAGAAGCTCCGCAAAGGTCTGCTGTCTGAGGTGGAGTTGTATAATAATAACACTACACACAGAAGTCAAGTCTTTCAGATTTATTGAGCCCTCCCTATAAGCCAGGCTCCGGTCTGAGCACTTTGTTGTTTGCTGTCGAGTCGATTCCGACTCATAGCGACCCCAAGTGACAGAGTGGAACTGCCCATAGGGTTTCCTAGGCTGTAACCTTTATGGAAGCAGATCACCAAGTCTTTTCTCCTGTGGATCCCTCTTACCCTCCTAGCGACCCTATGGAGGCAGTGTTTTTTATTGCCATTTTATAGATGAGGAAACTGAGGCATTGATCAGCTAAGTCACTTGCCCAAAGCTCCCCAGCTGATAAATGGTGAAAGCAGGACTCAAACTCAGGGACTCTGAGCCCAGAGTCCATATTCTAGTCACTGCCTTATAAGAGCAGGGGGAGCTCTGGAGTCCAAGGTCCGGTGTGGCCGTCCAGCTCTGTGCTCTGTAGGGGGGTGACCGTGGACATGTTCCTGGTGCTTCACGGGTTGTGGTATGCAAAGTGTTTCTCATAGCTTCAGTATGCAGTAAGTTCTGAATAAGCGGTAGCTATTATTATTACATCTTAATCTAAAGAAAACAAAAATCCTCACAACTAGACCAATAAGCGACATCATGATAAATGGAGAAAAGATTGAAGTTATCAGGGATTTCATTTTACTTGGATGTACAATCAACGCCCATGGAAGCAGCAGTCAAGAAATCAAACGATGTATTGCAATGGGCAAATCTGCTGCAAAAGACCTCTTTGAAGTGTTAAAAAGCAAAAATGTCACTTCAGAAACTAAGGTGTGCCTGACCCAAGCCGTGGTATTTTCAGTCGCCTCATATGCTACACAGTGAATAAGGAAGACTGAAGAAGAATTGATGCCTTTGAATTGTGATGTTGGTGAAGAATATTGAATATACCATGAACTTCCAAAAGAACGAATAAGTCTGTCTTGGAAGGAACAGCCAGAATGCTCCTTAGAAGCGAGGATAGCAAGACTTCGTCTCACGTACTTTGGACATGTTATCCGGAGGGAGAAGGACATCATGCTTGGTAAAGTAGAGGGCCAGTGAAAAAGAGGAAGACCCTCAACGAGATGGATTGACACGGCAGCTGCAACAATAATTTCAAATATGGCAACAATTACGGGATGGTGTTAGACTGGGCAGTGCTTGATTCTATTGTGCATAGAGTTGCTGTAAGTTGGAACTGACTAGACAGCACCTAACAACAACAACAATTATTATTATTGTAAGGAGCCCTAGTGGCACAGTGGTTAAGCGCTTGGCTGCTGACTAGAAGGTTGGCGGTTCAAACCCACCCAGACACTCCAAAGGAGAAAGACCTAGCAATGTGCTTCCGTAAAGATTACAACCTAGGAAACCTTGTGGGGCAGTTCTACTCTGTCCCATAGGGTTACTGTGAGCCAGAATCGACTCAACAGCACACAACAACAATTATTACTTAGTAGTATGAGGATCGTGCTTCTTGGGGTTGGTGTGAGGATTGTATCCCATCACGTAGCACATGGCAAGTACTTGGTGCAATGCCCAGGTCACAGTAGGCGCTCAGTAAATGGTGGAAGTTCGTTCTCCTATTAAATCCAAGGGAGCAGGGACATTGCTAATGTCCTGTGGAACATACTTTGAGAAACATGCCCAGAACATTTCCTTGCAGTCACTGCTTCTGCACAAAACACTTGTTTTGTTTTTACGAATGTGGACATGCATGGTCCTTTGCACAGATTTTGGCTCTTAGTAAGACGTGGACTTGTGAACCTTGTGACTCAGGTGATGTTTGGTGTGTACGATCCTGGTCACGCTTTCGAAGCTCGGCTCTGGGTGTAGCCAGGCTGTTTCTCTCTTTGACAGGTTTGCACAGATGCTGCTTCCATTGGTTGTCTTCCCGGATGGAGGTGATGGGGGAGCTGAGAGGGAGGCAGAAACCCTCTCCCCTGCAGCCCTCCGTTGACCAGATAATGAACCACTTCCTCCCACCAGCCTTCTAAGCACCTTTCCTACTTGGCAGAATTGACTCCAGCTGCCGCTCTTTTCCTGTCTCACCTCACCCACCCTCGGGGGAAGATGGTACCTTGATGTGAAACAGCAGGAAAGTGAGGTAGTGGGAGGAAAGACAGAGCTAAAGCTGGCTTCTCCCTGATTGAGAAAGTGACACCGAGCTTCCTGGGTGTCAAGAAGCCACAGCAGTGCAGTGTGAGCCCCCACCAGTGGCCTCGGTGGGACTCCGTCTTGGTGTGGTGGGAGGCGTCCTGGACGGGCATTTGTATGCTTGGAGCAGACGCTGGCTCTTCCTCCCAGACCTAGGGCTCATCACCCTGGGCCTCAGTTTCCCCGTCTGTGCTGTGACCGTAACGTATCCATCGAGAGTAGTGGTGAGTCTCATGTATAAGGAATTCTGTGAAAACCCCACGCACACCGTACACTGAGAATTGGGGGAAATGCAAGGGGGTAATACGCTGCTGGGTCATGGAGCTGCACTGGCCTGCATGGTGGACTCTTGGCCTTGAGGTCGAGCCCCACCCATTACCAGTGCTGCTAGCTTCACAAGACTCCCTAAGCCCTATCCCTGTCTTCTGAAATGGAGCTGGTGCCATTCCCCTACTCCTGAGCTCCCCAGGCTGTGAGGGGCCTGGTGGGGGCTACATGTTACAGTACTTTAGAAGGTGTGCTGTGCTGCACTGCATGTCTAGCTTTGATATTACTGCTGCTGTTGCTGATGGTGGTGGTGGTGGTGGTGGTAGTGATGGTGATGATGGTAATGATGGTGGTGATGGTAATGTAATGGTAGTGATGATGGTAAGGGTGGTGGTGGTGGGGGTGGTGGGGATGATGGTAATGGTGGGGATGATGGTAATGGTGGTGGTGGTGTGTGGTGCTGGTGGTGGTGGGGATGATGGTAATGGTGGTGGTGGTAGTGGTGGGGATGATGGTAATGGTGGTGGTGGTGGTGGTGTGTGGTGCTGGTGATGGTGGTGGGGATGATGGTGACGGTGGTAGTGGTGGTGGTGGTTATTTTTCCACAGAGCCCAAGTTTAAATGAAACAATTGCTTGTACTCTCTTTCTGTTAAGGACAAAAGGAGTTATTCTTGTCCTGTGTGTGAAAAGTCTTTTTCAGAAGATCGATTGATAAAGTCACATATCAAGACCAACCATCCTGGTAAGGGCATGCATTTTAGAGCAGAAGATTAATTTAAAAATGCTTATGTTTATTTTCGAGCACAGCAGCATACATCACCTGCACTAAATGGAAGTGAAGGGGGGTGAAGAAATGAGTAAATTCAAGGGAAACATCTCTATTTAAAGAGTTGTAACTCTTTTTTTAAAATAATTATTAATTTATTGTTATCCTTTACCTGGTCTTCAGATGTGTCTCCCCTCTGCAGCTCCCACATTTAAAGTTAACTTTGAGTCCTCTTAGATTCTGAGATCTGACATAGATCCTGCCACCCTGTTACATTATACGTGGCCCATAAGTTTGTGATCCCAAAGTGGTGGTCTGTGAAGGGGTGTTCGTTCCCACCCAGGCTGAGGAACCTTGGTCTGCTCACCCCCCATGCTGCTCAGGTGTGACAGGCAGGAGCTCCCTGGCCTCCATGCTTGATCAGTCCTGTCCTCACCATCTGGGACATTTTTCTTCTCTTTTCTTCCTGGATAATTCCTGTTCATTCGTTAAGTTCTCCCCGAGAGCCCTGCCCCTGGGGTGTCTTTTGTGACTCCGAGTCTAGGGAAGGTCCTCGATGTGTTCCTCTAGTGCTGCCCTGACCCCCCTCACAGGGCTCCAGCCATCTGTCATTTATCGCCATGTCCCCACACTCCCAGTTTGTGAGAACCATGTCCCCAGTAGGGCCAGGGGAGCAGGCATTGGTGTGTGAGTTGTACACATGGGTTACAAGTAAGCTAAGTATGCCTCTTCCTTCCTCCATATCTTCAGTTTGTGTCTGCTGCTGATATTAGGAAACTGACTCACTGATTGTGAATGGTACTTCACGGAGGGAAATAAATGGCGGAAGGGCGCTACCACTCATGTTTTTTCTGGGAATGGATGGAGTCAAGAGGTCTTCTTGTGTGGAGGCAGGGGAGTTATGTGATTCTCTGAATGCCCCATTCGGGCCTTCCCATGCTAACCCATGTCCTATGTAGCCTATGGTCCTGTGTGAGCTGAACACAGTCATTTAAGCCACCGACTTTTGTTTGTGAGCATATACAGAAGTACACAGCACCATATAAGGAACCCCCACAAACCTGTACCTCAGCTTCTAGAGTTATCTACATTTTGCTAAACTTGTTCCATGTATCACTCCCCCACCCCCTTAACTTTTTTTTTTCTGGAATATTTTAAAGTATATTCCACACATGTCATTTCTCCATAAATCTTTAGTACACATCTCCGATCAATAAGGATTTTTTTCAATATGACCACCATGCCGCTATTAAAACAACCAGAGTCAGCAGTAGTTCTTTATTATCACCTAGGATTAGCCCATATTACAATTTCCCAGTTGGTACAAAGATTTTTTTTTTTAACAATTGGTTCATTTGACTCAAGACCCAAATATTTTGCTTTTAGTTGTTACAGCACTTAAGTCTCTTTTATTCTGTAAGAGCCCGCTTCGCCTTTTTTTCCCGTGAGGTTGATTTGTTGGGGAAACTGGGCTATTTGCCACTCAGTATTTGCTGATTGCTTCCTCCTGGTGTTGTTTCTGCATCCCTCATAGTTGATGTTGACAGGTATTTAGATCTGAGCTCGACTGGAGTCTGGTTTCACTTCTTAGTCAGGAATTCTATCCCAGGACACCAAGAGACACATCCCACCTGGGTTTGCCACCTGTAGTGATGCTGAGGTGGATCAGTGGGTTCAGCTGCTGTCACGAGGTTTATTGACATCTGCCTTGAACTGAAGTCTTTTGGCCGCTTCTCATTATGGCCCTGTTTTCTCTCAGAGGTCTCCATGAGCACCATTTCCGAGGTTCTCGGGAGGAGGGTACAGCTGAAGGGGCTAATTGGAAAAAGAGCCATGAAGTGTCCGTACTGCGATTTCTATTTCATGAAGAATGGCTCAGACCTGCAGCGTCACATCTGGGCTCACGAAGGTGAGTATGCAGCATTCACAGTGGAGCACGCTTTTAGCTTCCTGCGTCCACGCTGCATTTTGGACGTACATCTCCTTTACCCCAACCATTATATACGTCAGGTGAGGACACGGAGCACAGAGCTGTCAGGAGGTTACACAGCTGGCCAGTGGGTGGGTGAGGACTTGAATGAAAACACATCTGCCTTCAAAGCCTGTGTGTTTTCACTTTGCTCTTCTCTTCCCAGTCATGATGAGGAACAGAAGTTAGGAATTTGGCTTCTCTGGGATTGTGAAAGAGGGCATGACTGCATTCTGGAATTATTTCAATCTTTTAGAAGAGCACCTGGTCAAATGATACGTGAATATGAAGATGGCATCGCTGAGCCACATTCAACCTTGATGTGGTTTGGGTGGTCTTCTCCATGGTGGTCAGAGTTGTTGAAACATCTGTACCTTGGACCTGCTGTTGAAATGGCTGGTCAGGTTCCCATGTGATACAGAGCGATGCTGTCCAACCCAAGGTAGCACCAACACTGTGATCTTGCTTTCATTGTTGTTAGGTGCCACTGAGTCGACTCTGACTCATGGCGACCTTATGTACAACAGAACAAAATGTTGCCTGGTCCCGTGTCATGCTCTCAACCGCCTGCGTGTTGCAGTCCATTGCTGCGTCTGCTGTGCCAATCCATCTCACAAGGGTCTCTCTCACCCTCGCTGGCTTTCTTCTTCACCAAATACAGTGTCTACCTCCAGGGATTGATCCTTCCTGATGATGTATCCAAAGCAAGCTAGTCAGACACCGTTTTGCTGTGATCCGTAAGGTTTTCATTGGCTGATTTTCAGAAGTAGATCACCAGGCCTTTCTTTCTAGTCTGTTGAAGTCTGCAAACTCCGCTAAAACCTGTCCACCACAGGTGACCCTGCTAGTATTTGAAATACCAGTGGCATAGCTTTCAGCATCAAAACAACACACAGTCACCTCAGTATGACAAGCTCACAGATGGGTGGTGGCTTGCCCTCATTAGAGTGTGTTATAAATGACCAACGCAGGACAGCGGGTAGGGTGTCTAGCAGGTTCCTTGGGAGGTGACTTCCGATCCCATCATTTTGCAGACATGAGACATGAGGTCATGGTCCCACATGTATTGGTGCTGGTGGTCAGATTCTCCCTCCAGTTTCCGGAAGTCCAGCCTAGTGCTGGCCTTTGCCTGGGCCATAAAGCACAGTCAGGCCTGTGCGTGGCTCTCAGCTCTGTGCCACCGGCAAATCCCGCAGCCTCTTGGAAGTCTTGGTGTCTTCAGCTGCAGAGTCATTTAGATAATGGGCAAAAATGCTTGGCTCAATAAAAGTGGTCTGTTCTGCCCTTTGGTCAGGTTTGGGGCACCCCCGATGGTAGAGTAGCCCATCACTGTCTGCTGTAACTGTTCAGTTGTCTGCATTTCCCACTACAGTGAAGGTGGGACCATGTCTTCTCAGTTTCCGGATTAAACCCTCAGTGCTTAGTGCAGAGTAAGTCCTTAGTGGACATTTCCTGAACGAAGGAGTAGCTGAATGCCAGATGTCCGTATAGTCTATACCATGAGCCTAGTGACAACAACTAGCGTTTGTGAAGCTCTTTATTTTCAGAAGAAAAATATGCTTTTACATCAGTTGCCATATTTCATCCCGGGTACCTCATGCGATTGATTTTTGCAAAGCCTCTTGGTTCTTTCATTTTGTTTAGTTTGACTCACTTCAGATGGATTTAATGCTGGCAGTTGTGTAAGTCGCTCAGGGTCTCTGCCCTCAGAGATCTCCTAGGCTACAGAGGAGGCAGATGTGGGGACGCACTGTAATGCACGTGAACTTTGCTAGTACAGAGCTGCAGAGCTTGGGAGCGCAGATAGGGAGGCAGAAATTGTTCTTGGGAGGGTCAGAGAAAGGCACAGCGTGGAGGACCAAGGCAGAACAGGGAGGGTGTAGATAGTCCTTTAGAGATACACGCGTGTGTCACACACACACACTTGTTGTTTTGTTTCCTGGTAGGTGTGAAACCCTTCAAATGTTCTTTGTGCGAGTATGCAACTCGTAGCAAGAGTAACCTCAAGGCTCACATGAACCGTCACAGCACTGAGAAAACCCACCTATGTGACATGTGTGGCAAGAAATTCAAATCAAAAGGGACGTTGAAAAGTCACAAGCTCCTTCACACAGCTGACGGTGAGTAAACGACTCTGCTGTGAGTCTTTTTCCTCTAAACACATGTTTGGAAGCTGAGTCCGAGTCCAGGAAACTGTCAATACAGCAGGAGGCGGCGTGTCTCTTAGCGCTTCCTCTCCAAAAGAGCAGTGAAGCCCTGGGCACCTGGCGTGAGCCTGACTTCCATCAGGTGCTTGTCAAGTGCTTGTGGTGGGGGTGGGCACTGGAAGGAAGCTGCTTCAGGGAAGGAGGCATCCTCAGGAAGCCTTGATCCTTGGTTCTGGAAGTTTCCACCCTCTCCAACCATTCCTACCCACCTGGAGCCTGAGGACTGTAAGGGGCAACCAGGACCCCACGTGGCCTGGCTTTTTAAGTGGATGTTCCTACCATCCAACCTGTATGGGGTGTGGTATTTTCAGGGCAAAATAGGGCTCAGTTTAAAATAGAAACAGTATTTGGGCAAGCTTGACCTGGTGAGGTACACTTACATGGATTTCTCATTTTATTTGTTTGAGAATCATTGACTGAACTGTTCCAATATGCCAGCCATGAAGGTAGATTCTAGGGGTATGAGGTCAGTAGGGAACAGTCCTACATTCAAGGGGTTTGTAATCTGGTGCAGAGGACAGAGAGCATGCAGATCATGGTCAGGGGTCAGTGCTATGATGCAGGGAGCTGGGAGCACTGGGGAGGAGGTGTAAGTCCTCGGGGGCAGTGGGTGAGGGCTGGAGAGAGGAAAAAAAGAAGGTTGGTCCTAGGAAGACAACAGATCTTTAAAAATGTTGATTTTACTAAAAACCCCAGTTGTGTGAAGGACTTGTGAATAGCATGTTTAGTGAGATAGATAAACTATATTTATAAATATATTTATTGTTATTTTAATATAATTAATAAAAAATTGGAGTTTACTATAAAAATCAAAGCAATTTCAACAATTTTTTTTTTTTTTTTTTGAGCAAATGAGTTTAATTCCAATAGTTTGTATATATAAAGTGTTCCATGACATGGATTTCGTTCCCCACGATGCTTTAGCTCTCACCCCATTTCCGTTCTTGGTTCCTTGATTCCTTTTGTGCTGATTTTCTACCCCTTCTTGCCTTCTCATCTTTGTTTTGGACAATTGTTGCCGTTTTGAGCTCGAACAGTTGATTGTTCTAAGGAGCATATTCCTCTTGAGTGTCAACGATGATTTTTGATTTCAGAACTTAGAGGATGAGAGGGCCACTGGGTCCTACCTTTATTTTAGGAATGTTCTGGAGAATCTGCCCACTGTGTGTGCATTGTCGCTGGTGAGCTTGGCCCCTTACAGTTGGATCCTGGGCAGGATTTGGTTGAGCCTGAGGGAGTCAATGGGGAGGCCAACTGCTTGGATGGGATTCGGCAGAATTAAGGACCAAGGGTTTGCCTAGGCCTGGGAGAAAGCTAAAGTCACAACCAGTAGAATGTAAGCAGTGCTCAGTAAATGGAAAAGCATCTATAACCCAAATCACTAAAAATTCCATGGCAGTAAAGCAGTCATAGCCTGAATTATGAATGCTGTGAAGTCCTGTGATTATTCATGAACTCTCCACCTCTACAAGCAATACTCGCCTGTCAGCTTGCCCGAGCATTTAGGCAAGCATTGTATTTTTTGACAGGATAGTACATTGCTCATTGAAGTCCCTAGTAGTATATTACTGTAATGAACAGTAGTTGTCCCCAGAGCTGGTGTGGTCTGGAGGGTCCACGAGCTCCCAGGAGCCAGGAGGGGCTCGCAGGCCTGTGAAGGATGCCATGGCTCCTGAATGGCTCTGGGCCAAAAGGCCTCCAGGAGGAGACAGGAAGTGTGCTGCGTCACGCGGACCCTGCGCCGACCATGGAGGAGTAGGGGCAGTGTGCGCAGGGTATCATGGAATCACAGCGGCCCCCGCCAGTATATTCTGCCTGACAATGCACTCGCTTCTCTGAGTTCTTCAGCAGGAAGGAGAAATCAGAGGGGCAAAAATGTGCTTTCTATAGCCAAAGCTTCCTAAAATGGAAAGGGAGTCCTGATTGGTCCAAACAGTTAACACACTTGGCTGCTAACTGAAAAGTTGGAGGTTTGAGTCCACCCAGAGGTGTGTTGAAAAAAGACCTGGCGCTCTACTTTGAAAACCCTATGGAGCACAGTTCTACTCTGACTCACATGGGGTCACCATGAGTCAGGGTCGAGTCTATGGCAACTTATTTTAAGGTTTTAAAACGGAAAGGCCTTCCTAAATTTGAAAGGCCTTATGCAACCACTGTGAAATGTTTTCTAACAAAACATTGGAAATTTGCATTGTTTCTGTTCCTTTTTTTCCCTGATATTTTTAGGAGGATAAGGTATTTGTAAAGTCAGGTTTTATTTTCAAGCACTCAGCAACCGTCTGGGAGGAAAGATATCAGCCACAGAGGCAATAGAACACCACTGGGACAGGAGGCCTAGCTTGGTGGGCCAGTTTTCTTCCCTATTTGGGGCCTGAGTTTTATTAATCTGTGAAATAGAAGAATGAGACTTTCTATTTCTTGGGTGTTTTAGTGTTAATGCTCTGATTCTCAGACACAAGGGTGGAAGAGGCTAAAGGCACAGAGCTGAGAGGTGCTAAAATAGCTCTGTACTTTCTAAATGGAAGGTGATCACTTCTTCCCCAGGGCTACCTAGCACATTAGTTATATTTCCCTTTTGACATTTACCATAGCCTACGTTTCTTGAGGGCTGGTTTGGTGAGTGGGGTATTGGGTCATAGACTAGTTGCCCTAATGCCACTGATGACCTGTTATGTAGGCTTCAGCAAGTTATAGACTATTTTTTTCTTTAAAGTTTTCTCTTCCTGATAATAGAGTAATACATGTTTATTATAGAAACCCTGAAGAAGGTTTATTTCCCTCTATTGCCCATTTTTTTGGTAATGCTCATGTTTTAGGTTGTTGATTTCTAATGGCTCTCTGTATATTAATGCTTTGTCATATTTTGCAAATATTTCCCTCAATTTATCATTTGCTTTTAAATTTTATGGTATTGTTTTCTATGCAGATTTAAAAAACTAGGTGCCTTTAAATTTGCCAGTCTTTTTCTTTTTTTCTCTGTGTTCTCTCTGTGTTAAAAGAAATCTCCCCATCTTGGGAGAAAATTCTTTTATATTTTCTTCAGTTCTATCTTACGATTTCACAATATTTATGAAGTTTAATATTCTTGAAATTTAGTTTGGTGTGTGATGTGTGGTAGGAATCTTTTTTTTTTTTTTTAGTTGTAGTTTAGATGAAGGTTTACAGACAAACCAGTTTCTCATTAAACAGTTAGTACACATATTATTGTATGACATTGGTTAACAATCCCATAACATGTCAACACTCTCCGTTCTTGACCTTGGGTTCCCTATTACCAGCTTTCCTGTCCACTCCTGCCTTCTAGTCCTTGTCCCTGGGCTGTTGCGCCCTTTTAGTCTTGTTTTATGTGCCTGTCTAATCTTTGGCTGAAGGGTGAACCTCAGGAGCGGCTTCGTTACTGAGCTAAAAGGGTATCGGGGGCTATATTCTCGGGGTTTCTCCAGTCTCTGTCAGACCAGTAAGTCTGGTCTTTTTTTGTGAGTTAGAATTTTGTTCTACATTTTTCTCCAGCTCTGTCCAGGACCCTCTATTATGATCCCTGTCAGAGAAGTCAGTGGTGGTAGCCGGGCACCATCTAGTTGTACTGGACTCAAACTAGTGGAGGCCATGGTAGTTGTGGTCCATTAGTCCTTTGGACTGATCTTTCCCTTGGGTCTTTAGTTTTCTTCATTCTCTCTTGCTCCCGAAGGGGTGAGACCAGTGGAGTATCTTAGATGGCTGCTCACAGGCTTTTAAGACCCCAGACGCTTCTTGCCAAAGTAGAACGTAGAACATTTTTATAAACTATATGATGCCAATTGAGCTATATGTTCCCTGAGACCATGGTCCCCACAGCCCTCAGCCCAGTTATTTGTCCCTAAGAGAGTTTGGATGTGTCTATGGAGCCTCTATAACCTTGCCTTGTACAAGTTGTGCTGGCTTCCCCAGTATTGTGTACTGTGTTACCCTTCACCAAAGTTACCACTTACCTATTGTCTATTTAGTGTTTTTCCATCCCCAGCCCTCCTCTCCCTCGTAACCATCAAAGATTGTTTCTTTTTGTGTGTAAATCTTTTCATGAATTTTTACAGTGGTGGTCTTATACAATATTTCTCCTTTTGTGATTGACTTATCTCACTCAGCATAATGCCCTCCAGTTTCATCATTGTCCTTTATTGTTGTGTAGTACTCCACTGTGTGTACGTACCATTGTTTGTTTATCCATTCATCTGTTGATGGGCATCTGGGTTGTCTCCATCTTTTTGCTATTGTGAACAATGCTGCAGTGAACATGGGTGTGCATATGTCTATTCATGTGATGGCTCTTATTTCTCTAGGATATATTCCTAGGAGTGGGATTGCTGGATCATATGGTATTTCTATTTCTAGCTTTCTAAGGAAGCGCCATATTGTTTTCCAAAATGGTTGAATCATTTTGCATTCCCACCAGCAGTGCATAAGAGTTCCGATCTGCCCGCAGCCCCTCCAGCATTTGTTATTTCCAGTGTTTTTGATTCGTACCAGTAATGCCGGGGTGAGATGGTATCGCATTGTGGTTTTGATTTGCATTTCTCTAATGGCTAGTGATCACGAGTATTTCCTCATGTGTCTGTTGGCGGCTTTAATGTCTTCTTTGGTGAAGTGTCTGTTCATTTGTGTGGTAGGAATCTTAATTTGTTTGTTTCCAGTTATTAAATGAGTCAGCATATTTATAGAGAAATCAGTCCTTTTAGTCTTAATTTGAAATGTCAGAATATCTCAAGATGTTGGGTCTGATTCTGGGTTTTTTGTTCTATTTCAATGATCTTTGTTGTAGTACATTGTCTTGTATGGGATTTTAAAAAATAATTACAGGCAGTCCCCGCGTTACAAACCTCCAACTTGTGGACAACTCATACTTAACCTTTAATGTTACATAAATCTGCTTTCACTTT